CCTCCTCCTCCTCCGCCTTGGGGCGTGGATGGGGTGTAGACGTGGTTGTGTTCCAGCCATCTAAGGGGAAATACTCTCTGTGCAAAACACAGGGACTGTATTTTGTTTTTTAAGAGTGCGACATCTGAACGGTCTTTGAAAAATTAAACCTTGACTATGGAGGATTTTTATTTTTTTCTCAGTGTAATGCTATTTTCAGACTAGATCCTGTCTCAGAAAACAGTAATGTTAAGAGAAGGCTTTTGTGAACAGAGAGAATAACACAAGAAGATGCTCTCTCTTCACTTTTAGTTTGTTTCTCAGATCCTAAATTTTCGTAGACATCTGTCTTTATAGATGACCAAAGCATTTCCCCAATTAAACTTTTCAAAATTTGCTGGAACTTAATGTTTCTGAATATAGTGAATACAAGGATTAGTTACAGTTACTAATGTGATTATGAAGTTAACAATTAGTTGTTAGTTAGTTATGGTTTGTTGAATGCTGCCTTCATAGCAAGTTAAATTATTATGGAATTTTCTACTTTAAAATGAATTTAAGCACCATCATTATTCTGAAAATCATAGATATTTAAAAGTTCTGACTTTCCAGAGAGAGTTAGAAATGTCAGGGGACAGAATTCTACTAAGAACAGTCAGTTTTAAAAAAATTTAATCTAATTGCTGGTGTTTCATAGGATGAAAAGCCATTGCAAATCTGATTTCTTTAAAGCTATTTTCCTTATGTTACGGATGTAGTTACTTTAGGACATGGTTGCTCTTTCTAGTAAATGTAGCAAGAGAAAACAAATTGCTTCTGAAATACCATTCAAGATGTTGACCAGCAGAACGGACTTGGATTTCACAGTACGCGTTTGTGCAGCCCAGAGTTCTCGCACAAGTTTGACCCCAAAGTCTGCCAAGTCCAAGGATTCACCTGCAAACGCAGAATCGCTAATCCCAAAGACAACGTAACGGTTCCCCGTCTTTGGAGGCTTGTCAGTTTTCACGGTGATAGAGTTACTTTCTTGGAAAGAAGAAGAAAAGCAAGATGGATTTTGGCATTTGTTGTGAAGAAATGTGCTGTATTCGCAAGGAATTCGTGTGAAGACGCCTTGAACGGAGCAGGATTCAAATATTAGGTACTTTTGGGGAGCGCCCCAGCTCCCAAAAACTCATTTTAAAACTTTGATCTCTTGGGCTTTTGCTCTCGTTTTGGCTTCTTTGTAATCTGATCGGTGTCTTTATTGCTTCACTTTCAGTGAGATGGAGCAGCAGCTCTTAATTACTCCCTCCTCTACTCCAGCTGGAAAGCAGCGAGCACTCCCGGCAGAGCTAACGATGGGCCGGAGTAGCACCGTGGTCGGAATGAGGTTGACAGTATCACGTGCTGATGTCACTCTGTAGGTTAATTTGTTTTCACCAATTCTTAGGCTTGGAAAGTGCCATAAAGGGAGAATTTCCATAATATGAAATTGTTTCTTTCTTATTTCAACCGCCCGCTCTGTTTCTTTGTGGTATTTTTGGGAAGAACGTCAACAAACCCTCGGACTTGAGAGGGCCGTGCCCAGCTCTCTGACGTGCCCTTTCCCAAATCCTTCTTGAAAAGAGGTTGACCACATGTTCTTTTTACTTCCCCAAGAGATTTATGCGGAGGAGACAACTTGCAGCAACCTTAGACTCACATCTGTTAGAGAGTCGGTGAAAAGTATTCGACTTGAACAAAGACTGGGATATTGCTTTTTAGTCTCAGTCTCTGCTGGTGAGTGCAGACACCTTCTTACCTCTGGCAAAACACCTGAAGGAGTTAGCACGACCACGCAGAGTTAAGCTTTTCAATTTTCATTATGTTTCTAACTCACACATTGCTCTTGGCCTGTTAACTTCTGTATAAGCCTGTGAGTACAGCATCGGTGGAAGGAAATTGGTAAAAGCATGTTGCATTTCGTGCTTCATGAGTGTCGAAACACCGTGTCCATGAGGATCGCTCCAGGAGGCAGCTGGATACAAAGGCAGAGGTAGCACGGACCTCCTTGGGTGATTTTCAGACACCAGCTGTGAGCCTTGCTGGGAAAAAAATAAAAAGGGACTGGCTTTCAGTCGGCTTAGAAAAGGTCGGTGATTTCTGTGCTGTACAAGAAATCAGGGGGCTTCCCCAGCGCAGTGAACATCCATAGGGTCTGATGAGGGCTGTGAGCGGCAGCAGCGTGTGCCTGTGTCGGGAGCGCTCTGCGGGATATGAAACGTTGACGCCTCCAGCTCGGTGGTAGAGGAGGAATAGAACCAAGGGAATCGGGCTCTGCAGGGAAACACTTGAAGAACCAAGCTGGGAAGGCTTTACGTTGTGTTCTTTTTCTCTTAGAATTCCGTATGAGCCTCCAAGAGAAAGGTGGTTATGGAGGGGGTGTGCTTTGTGGGGAGGAGCAGCCCCTGTGCTGTGCAGTTTTGCTTAGCAGACAACTAATTTCGTCTCCCTGCCGCCCACAACTTTTTTTTTGGTAGGCATGGGAGAGAGAAAAAAGGGAAATGTCAGAAACCTTTGTTGTTCTAAAATACAAGAATCCACTTGACAGGAACGGAGGAGTCGCATCGATTAAATCTGAGTTTCCATCCTGGTGAGAAGCAGGGATCAGCCGTGTGGGCTGGGAAATAATTGCGGCATTGGTGCTGATTACGGAGGAACAAAGCTTGCTTTAAGGCTTCAGTCGTGCTGGCCACCAACACGGGAAGTGCAGCGCTTGCTTCTGCTGCTGCTTGCCCCAGCTCACTTCATTTGAATTTATGGAATTGGAATGCATACGGTAGGGACTGCATTTTGGCTACGGTTTCTTTCAGTAGTATCTTTGCTGGACCTCCTGTATTCGTTTTCTTTGTTTTAATGAATAAAACAGGTCACCTGTTGCAAAGAAACGTGTAACAGCATTAGCTTTCAGCTGCTTAATGTGGCACCATGAAATATGTGTCTGACAGGTGTAACCACGGGTAATTTAAGAGATTGTTACTGATTAAGCACTAGGACAAGCCACACTTTCTTCATCCTTTGGCATAAACTAAAAAAAAAAAGAGCTTGCCGTCACCTTTTTGCATTCAGAGGCAGGTGTGCGCAGAATCCCTATGGGCCGTGCAATATTGCAGTTTCTGTGCTGTTTGTGGGCTTCAGGCTGCTCACAAAGAGTGATAAAGGTTGATAACCTGTTGCAGCAACACATCAGGTGTGTACGGAGTTGAAGTTACGTTCATGCTCTCCTAGAAAGTGTGAGATCAGATGTGAGAACAAGGCTTGTCCTCAAACAACGAGAAGAATACCCTGTGTTTCCCCACAAAATACAATTTCCAAGCTTTCAGCAGCTCTAGGTAGTAATTATGGTTATTTAATACTCAGCCGAGATTTAAAAAAAAAAAGCAAACCACAAGGAAGATTAGAGCTTTGTGAAATGTGTTCAGCCTGCACATACAGCGTCGCTCATCTTAAGGTCAACCTCACCACGTAATTTCAGTGAAGATTTTCCCCCGATCCATGCCTGGCACTGTTGCCACCCCTGGGCTCTGCAGCTCAGTAGTAGGGTGTTCCTCTGGAATAAGGAAAATCCGGCTGATGGCGCTTTACGTGCGTAATAGGATTTAAAACCACATTTCTCCTTGACGTTCCCTAAGTGTTCTTTTTTTGGCAGCTTCTGAATGCAGCTTTCCTTCAGCTCCTTTGCTTTTCTCATAGTTCCACTTCTGAATTTGACCACCAAATCTGCCCGCGCAGCTTACGTGAGTGCGGAATTAAACGGAATTACTTCAGAAATGCGTTTGGATCGCTGGGTCTGCAGCCACTGGACCCGCTCCCGTTAAATGCCTCCCGCGAAGCCCTGAGCGCTTTAAAATCCCGCTGGGAATTACAAGCTTGAAATGCCTCTGCAGACAGGCAAATAAATGACTGGAAAGCCTCTTGTTTCTTGGCAATTTAAAAGACTGGTTTGGAGACAAGTAAAGTGCTAAAAATTACACGGTGCCAAACTCGCCGCGAGTTGCTCGAATACCTGAGTGTGGCTTGTGATGCTCGCAATATGGAAGACAGGAGAATGCTTGAGGGCAATGACAGTATCTGCTGCTGTCACCTGCCTGATGTAGCGTGAAAAATACCATGGGATTGAGAAAAATAGGTTGGCAATTCAGCTACAATAGACTGTCATTTTATATCTTTCCCTTGGGTGGAATAGGGATCGTAGGAAGGGAAAGATACAGTTGCCATGGCTGGAATTTATAGATGAAGTATCCCATTCCTATTTAATGTGAGCAAGATGTAGACACATACTTCCTTAGGTTGCTTTTTTTGGAAAATTCTAGCTCTTGCTTCATTACTTTTCCTTTTTGACTGAGGTTACAAAACCTCTAAATGTACTAAAGACTTGCTCATCAGAAACCAGCAGAGACACCACGTCAAAGTCAATATAATTTGCAACCATGTGTCATGGACACCCCTTTTGGTCTGCTCGTGCTTTTTGTTTTCTAGTTTGACACCAGTTGTCCCAGAGGAGAGGAGGAGACTCTCGGCTTCAGGACAGCTTGGAATAATCCTGAATGAGTGGACGTAGACATATTCTGTGTAAATTTGGCTGAGTCCTGGGATTTCTCTGTGCTGATAATACCTCAGTGGGACTAGATACGAAATTAACGGAAACAAAGGAATCTCTTATGGATACTTGCAAAATTCAGTTTGTTTCCCTGTCTTTGTGCTATGAGAAAAACGTTACTGGAGAAGTTTGTCACACAGTGCCTCGGCTTAAATAGCTGAGTCCTAAATATGTGACTTATGTAGACAGCCAGCTAAGAGATGTAACAGTATTCCAGCCACTAATCTTCTTATACCAGGGGAAGGTAGGAATGTGTGTGCTCAGGACTGGTATTTGTAACTGATCTGGCCCTTGTGCTTCCAGAATGGACTCAATGCTCTGCACCTGGCGGCTAAAGAAGGCCACGTGGGACTGGTACAAGAATTGTTGGAAAGAGGGTCGGCTGTGGATTCTGCCACGAAGGTAAGTCACACGCATCTGTGAGTTTAGTCACTGAAAGGAAAAGTCAATCCATGGGAGAACGTAGAGAAAACCAAGAATTTAAAGTACAAAATAAGATAATGCTATAAATACCTTACTAATACTTGATTAAAGTACAAAATAAGGTAATGATATAAATACCTTACTAATAGTTGAAGTGTTATTGCTGTTATGGCCTGCAAGTCCATGTTCTTTGCTGAAGCTCACTGGTAAGAAGTGAAGAGGGAAGGATTATTATTTGTACAATCTCTTTACACTGAAAGGTTTTAGTGCTGCCGATACAAAATTTTCCCTGGAAGTTTGTCCCGCGCCCCAGTCCCATTCTCTAATTTCACTCAGAAGTTCCATGAGGATACTAGTGTTGCACAACCCATTCAAAAATCTTCATGGCCTGCAACTGCCAGTTCTTTTCCCTGTCATGTTTATGAAACATCAGGAAACTGTAAGGTAAAATTGTAAAAAAAAATGAATGTAATAACTGCTGGTTGAAATTACTTCTCAGGAAGGGTAATGTCTTTCTTTTTTTCTCCCCTCTGTAACAGAAAGGGAATACAGCCCTGCACATCGCATCCTTAGCAGGACAAGCTGAAGTTGTCAAAGTTCTCGTTAAGGAAGGAGCCAATATTAATGCACAGTCTCAGGTACGACGCTGTTGTCCCTTCTCTCTTCTAAAAGTTACTTGGTGAGGTTTTATAAGATAGATCTGAGATGTTAGGCAGCCATTCCAAAGGTCCAAGCCTGACGAATCAATCAGATCGAGGCTTAGAGAGCACTCAGTGGTAAGTAGAATGGAAGGAAGTAAACAATTTAAGTCTTTGGGTGATGTGGGATCTCACGTTGACTGAAATATTTTAGGAGATCCTAGTGTGCTTTAATAAATTGTTTCACAAGTGTTACATCATAGGTTTGAGTTGGATTTGATAAGCAGTAATGAAGAAGATAATTCCTCAAGGACTTGATTTATACAGTTTCTTGTCATGGTTATTTATTGCCTCTAGATTTGCGGTGACTTGCTCCAGCCTTCTGAACTCATTTGTATTTGGTCATTGCAATGAATTTAAATCCAAAGTTTTGGATATACATTTGAAGTGGAGACGTTCACCTTGTCCTCCAGGCAAACCAACTCTAAAAAAAGCCCTGTTTTTACTGACAGGAAGCTTGTCTTCTCTTCTAAAATGTCCCAGAGAAGGTGGTGATGCTGCTGAGACTGACCCATGGCAGGTTCTTCTCTCCCTGGTTTGAACGAGGCTGTGGTGGCAAATATGTGTTATCCTAACACCTATCTGAGAGACCCGTTATTTAGGATTAGGAATAATTCATCAAATAAATAATATTCTTAAATGCTACCTTAACTATGGCAACTGTCTGTAGCTGTGAGGAGCTGAACAGATGGTATAGATGAGGACTATATATGATCAAGAAGCCGCATCTTTCTGAAGCATCTAGTCAGCTCGTGACCTTCTCCAAGTAAATCGTGGAGCTCGCTAAGCGCGTTTAAATTGAGTCCTGAGTGCGTCATTTGGTGACCACAAATCCTGTTTTTAACATTGTAAACTGAGACAACGAGAAAAAGAAGTCACGCTTCAGGGGTAGATTAATTGCAAATTAAATTTTTGTAGCACTTATAGGCAAGACAATGGCCCTTAGCTTCATCTTGCTGGGAGACGTGAGCAGAGCAAGGAGAGAGGGATTGGATTTGAGAGGGCAGCTTGGAACTACTGCCCTGCTCGAGGAGAGTTTTGGGAAGCATATCTGGGGCATTCCCTGATCGTTAGGAGCACAGACTGGTTTGTAAAAGGTTTTTGATTTGTCAGAGTCTATCCGAAGTCTGGGTAGCTCCACATCTTGCTTTTCCTCAGGAAACTGGGACCTGGAGATTTGTTGGGGTTTTTTTTCTGTTTGAAATTACAGGTGTATGATGGACCCTGTGAAGTAAGTAGAGAGCAGGAGATGAACGAATACATTTGCAAAATGAACTGGTTTGTCTGTAGCTTGATTACAGTTTAAGACAAGGGAGAGAAATTGAAGAGATCTCTAAACTGCCTGATTCCAAGATTTTAAAAATATTTTCTTTGTTATGCTTTTTGCCCTAAAGTGGCTGCTAAAAGAGCTCTCGTGGGACAACTGGTGGTCAATTATTCTCCACGCTCTACTTCCATTAAAGATAAGAAATGTTGTAATTCCATTGCTCCAAAATTTAGCAAACTCCTTTCATAACAGCCTAACTGGATGATTTCTTGTACATTTATCAGCCTTTTCATGGGTATAAGAAGATAAAGTCATGTCTTTAATGTCTAGGATTTCAAGTGTGGTAAAAGAAATAATTGTAAAAATGGCACTTTCATGAAGACTTTTCCTTAATCTAGAAGACTAAATTAAGTTTTTTTAAAAGGGTGAATTCTAAAGAGGTAGAAATTTTCTAAATTAAAAAAAATTCCTTCCAGAATTGAAACTTTTTTCCCACAGGTGTTTCTTTATATGATATTCTAGTTTTAGACACGTTTCTGGTTAGCGCTGGCTGTTCTGCTTATCGTACACAAACCTGTTAACGAGCGTCAGCTCCTGGATTTAATGGAATGAATCCGATGGGAGGATGAATGTTGGTTGCCTCCAGCCAGGAGGAATTCAAACTGCTGGGATACACACGCCCTGGATCTGGGCCATGTTGCCTTAAGCAAGTCCTCTTGTCTTGGATGGGCGGGCGAGTCCTTCGTGCCTTGAGATCCAGCTGTGGAGACCTTGTGCTGCCTTTCTGCACAAGTTTGCATTGGTGAACAGGATTTAGAGGGGGGGAAAAAAGTCACGTCAGGATAGAGCTTAATTGAGAAAGTCAGAAATGAACAAAAACACGGATTAAGGAAAGATTGAGTGAAAAAGTGAGACGTTATCACTGAAATGCTCAGTTTCTCTTTCTTACGTTTTCTCTCAGTTCCCCTTTTAAGAAGAGATGCTCTATTGTCACTCTTCTATCTTTTAGGAAGAGTTGTGGGTATTGAGGGCGTATGACATCCTCTCCTGGGTATCTCTGTTATTTCACACTGTATTTTTTTTAGGCCCTTGCTAAATGCCATTTGTTGGTAGTGATTTAATGCCGGTGAAGTTACTCGGGTTGCTCCACAACTTCCTCTTTAGAGAACTCGGTATCTGTCAAGGTCGTTCTCATTTCCAGTGGTGCCAATTTGCTATAGTGACAAAATTCCTTCAGCCATGATAAACCGATAGATTAAAGAGTATTCTCAACTCCAGCTTGTTCAGTTTGTTGGGTTTCCTTTCCTCCTCTCCATTAAATTGCATGAAAACCCTATTCTTCATCAAAACTTACCACCAATGACATCTGAAACACCACACTGCTTTCCCAGTTCCTTGCAACAACAAAATAACAGAATTATCTCGGCAAATGCTATTAAAAACATTCTAACTGCTGAGATTACAAACCCCATCTGTGCTAGCTGAGACTGTTAAGCATTCAGGGCTTTGATTGTATGGATTTGGGGTTTCTATTAGATTACTTTGCTTTGCCCTTCAGTTTCGCGTTGGCCTTCAGAGCTGTTATTTTGTTCATCTCCCTCTTTGAAAAAGTCCGTTCCTTTTGAGCTAACACGTCACCACGGCTATTTTTAGAAAAGTAATTTCTATTTGGATACAAGGGACTAATTGCACAGTGATTACTAATTGAATGAGTCCGCTTTCACCTGCGTGCGTATCGTTTGAGAGCTGACATCTTGGCTCAGCATGTTTCAGGCCAACGCTGAAACGAGGGCACCCCCAGAAATGGCCAGAGATCTAGAAGCTGCTGGTCCTTTTGTGGCACCTGGAATTTGACAAGTGTGCAACCGTTGGGCTCAATTAGAATCACCTTTTGCTACAAGTATTGCTGGAGAAAATTGATTCGTGTAATGAGTGTCTATAAAACCTTCGCTTGGTTGACTCTGCTTGTAGTTCAGCGAGCAGGTCTGGGTATTTGTCACCAAGTAAAAATAAAAATCAATTTCTGCAATTTCTTTTCTTGATTTGACCGTGATTGTTTGGTCACTTATAGATCTAACCAAGCTGAGCTCGCAGTTCGGTAACTAAGGGAATTATCGTATCCTGAAGTCACCTGCAAAAGAAGTTATCCCCTTCAGTTTTAGAATAGAATGTGTTCCCTGTTAGCTGCTAAGGTTGTGCTTTGAGCGCTGCTTTGTTTAGGGGCCCTCACAAAAGGAAGAGCTACCTTTTAATCGGCAGATTATTTAAAGTGACCCAGATACAGAAAGCAAGGATTAGATAAATCGGTCCTCCCCCAAGCTGATCTCGTTATTTAAAAGCCCTCCGGTTTCCTTTCCTCGATGTCCTGCTCTAAGCTCATTGCCAACACGTTAGCCAAGAAATATTTTTGTTTAAATTTGCCCCTGTGATGGTTACCCCTCCCTGTTTCAACACGTAGGAGATGCTGTCATTGACTGCTGGAGCATTCTTATCCGGACTGTCCGTCAGATGGAGTAGCACCAGATTTCCAGCCTCAATACGCTTTCCCCCCAAAAAGAGCGATGAAAGAACAGGTCAAATGTCCGTATTCAGTGTTTCCGCAAAAGCCCAGGGAGGATTTAGATGATTCTCGGGGAAGTGATCAGCTTGTCTCTCTCAGGACGCCCTTGGATTTGCTTTAACCAGAGATTGCCCTCCCTGTGCTTTGTAGAGATAATCTTACCTTCAGAACGGAGCGTGTTTTGCAGAATATTTGCTATTCCATTATGACGAAAGGTTTTAATTCCACCGACTGTATCAGTACATTTAGAGAGCCAGATTTTTAGCTGCTGGATATCCAAGGGGAGTCATTTAGCTGCTGTTCATCATTGCTAATGTAATAAGGGATCAGGCCCATTATCTCTTCTGCTGGAGGGGAAGAAAAAAAAAAAGGGAAGAAGAAAAAAAAGGGAAGAAATGCCTTCTGGGGGATTATATGGATTTTGAGAGATGTAAACAAAAATACTACATTAAGAACAATGAAAGAACAGATATATTTATTTATCCTGCCTAAAACTAGTCCACGTTCCAGCTGCCTGCCACTTCCAGTGATAATCAGTTAATGATGAACAGTCCTGATCCTGAAGCAGGATCTTGGACAAGTATAGGAGGGGAGCTGAGCGGGAGTTTATGGTGTCATCTGCAGAGGCAGCGCCGTGGTCATGTGGGGGTAGGAGCTGCTTGGCTTTCTCTCAGAAGCTGCTCCGACCATCAGGAGCTCCTGAAGAGCGAAGGAGAGTGCTGAGCCACGTGCATCCCATAAAATAGCTGAATGTGTCAGGATCCCAGCTGACAGAGACTGAAAAAGAACTGAAAATACTTCCAAGTTGTATTTACAGTCTAGTTTGCTAACTTACAGTCTCTTTTAATGCACTATAAAGGGACGAATGGTCCAGGTTGAAAGATTTTAATTTTAAAACCAGTAGGGGTTTTTTTCAGCTGACAATATGATACATGGTCTCTAATAATTATTCTTACAATACATAAACTTGAAGAGCCTGCAGTCAGCCGACACACCAGCTGGAAGGGTAAGGGCACACCAGAGCAGCATCCCACGTTTCATCCCAGCTGCAGTTGACGCAGTCTGCGACGGTAAAAACCAGGCAGTGGAAATGTTAGAGACTCACAGAGTGAC